CATAAAATGATCTTGTTTTGCCTAAAAAATGAACGCTGCACAGCTTGAAAGACAAAACTCAGGTTTTATGGTGCAACATGGCTGTGGTTACCTACTTGTAGAGAGTAGATTTATTGGTATCTTTCAAAGAGATTAAAGACAGTTCATAACCTTGACTGTGACATGAGATCTGCTTTCATTTACTGATTTGCCTTGACAAATCAGCTCTTTTAAAGAGCATTCATTTTCTCTGCTCAGTTAACATACAACAACCAAATTCTAAATTACCTTCCTACTCCGAGAAGCATTAGTCCTCCAAAGATCATTGCAAACGGCCCCAGACTAGAGGTTTCCTTTTTGCATTCATCTGTTTTGTGCTGAAATGCATTATAATCAGTTTTTTCTAAAGAGTTTTTTTTGTTGTCAGCACTTGTACGCATTATCAGTTAGTTGTTTCTGTTGCCTACTTATAAGCATCAGTCCAGACATCTGGATTATCTGTAAATTGGGCTGTCTAGTATGACTTCTGTGATAAGCACAGTCTGTTTACTGGAACTTACTTCCATGAAAATTTTTATGTCCATGCACTCTCCTGCTTGAGTGTCAATGAGTGTCAAAGTCAATTTCGACAGCAGGTGCATTTCTTTGAATATCAGTATGCCAGTAGTTGGCAGTGGTATGTCAGATTAAGCAATTTGACAATAAATTTCTCTTGGCCAAGCCTTCTATCCTTCCAAACTCACTTCCTGTCTCAATTTGTTGATAAGATTGTGGCAAAAAGAGTACGGAAGCGATGTAAGCAGACGCACAGCCGAGACATCCCTCTCGTTAACCGCATGCTCTTTTGAGACGCGATCCTAAAATATGAACAATCATGCTCTGCTAGAGGTTCAAGTTTTTACAAAGCAAATATTGACCTCCATTCTGCTGCATATCTCCGATCCAGGATTATAGAAACAGAAAGATTGGTACTTGATAAATTCCTCGCTATCCGTATGATATGGGCCAATCTGAACACTAAAATCTTCACGAAATTCATTCACACTTTATAGTACAGTATCGCGTTGATCATTCTAGCAAAGCGTGTTACCTACATCATATGTTCTACTCATTCTCTTTTAAGGTTGTGTTACATGCAAGGTAAAGAAAGAAGAGCTCACATCCGTGCTAAGGGCAGTACCGTTGGGATCGACTTCTTTTAAAGTTCTCGAGAACCATGTCGCATCAGTAGATGTGTTTAGCACAAATCTAAATGCAGATCTACAAAATACATACATATATATTATTGAGACTAAGAACAACTTTCAGGAAGGAACTTTCAGATGATATGCGCTATTCGACTCAATAATGAAGGGGTTTTTAAGTTCTAATGATATTCCCGGATTATTACAATTATTCCAAGACGGAGTAAAGACAACAATGAACAAAAACCGTAAAAAGGTGACAAGCAGATGACAATTACAGAATTCTGATTTTTCTATATGCATTACGAATGCCTGCTAATTTAATGATTTCTGTTCCAAACTTAAGGTAAAGCGTAAAAAGGTGGAACTAAAGGTTTGAAAATTTCAGCTGATTCTGCAACACACTGTCACAGCATTCCATGTTCAAATTGATGTGGATTTGGAAAAC